GAGGAAGGACCAGGACTACTCCCCCAGGCAGTGACACAGGGAGGAAGGACCAGGACTACTCCCCCAGGCAGCAACACAGGGTCAGGGCAGGAGAGCTGGCTCCGGGGGCGGGGGGGCTGGTCTCCTGGCTGCACTAGTGGGCAGTGGGACCCAGGAGTCTGTTTCCATAGGGGTGTCACCCTCGCTTCAGGTCTGGGAGGGAAAACTGGGGCCACCTGGAGACCCACGGTTGAATGCATGCTTGGCTACACAGATCCAAAGCAACATCCAAACCTAGCCCCATCAAAAGCTCTTACTCCCCAGACTTGCGGAAACAGTGAAGGAGTCCAACATCCCCAGGTACAAAGTCTCCCAAAGATGCTTGTGCATTGCTCCGTGCAGGTCTGCCCAGGCCCCAGGGCCCCAACCCTTGACCTTGTTCCAGCTAACCCTAAAACTGTTAAGGCTCTGCCTCCACTCGCCTGCACCCCGCACCCACCCGACTGGACTGTGGTCCCAGTGACCTTTGTCCTTGGGAGCAGAAAAGGGTGCTAAGAATAGTGTCAGTCATGGAAAGGGAATCTCACATGCTAAATGTGGCTCACAATGGTGTCCCTGTCTGGGGCCCCCAGGCACTCAACAGCGTCCTTCACCATGCCGCTCCGGAGTGTCACACATCAGGAATCCAGTGGCATCACCGGGAAACTATGCTTCTCAAGTAGAGCTCGGAGCCACAGCAACAGAGGGGTCCCTGTTAGAAGGAAGGCCTTTCCACACACAGCCCCGCGCTGAGCCCCACACCGCAGTCTGCGCGCTCTGTGCTCTCCCCCACGCCGCAAGGCGGGACTGCTCCCACGGCTTTCTTCTCCTCTGCTTCTGCACAACTCTGACAGCCCTGAATTGAAGGACATGGTGCAGCCTCAGAGGAAACAGCAAGTGAGTACCTGGGGGGATCGGAGGCCAGCAGAGCAAATCTCGTGAAGGACCTGCCCCTCCAGGGGACCCTCAAGGCACCTCAAATGTAACGCTGCCATCTCCATTTTTTACAAAGGCCAAGTGTCAAGTAAATCTCTACTCATTCTGGTCACATCATAACTCCCTTCTTCTGGCCCAAGAACAGTAAGCCCACCCTGTGTCTTGATGAGGGTTGGTTGTTAAAAGTCCCTGTTTTTTTGGTCCCCTACCCTAAGCTGGAGTCCTGGGGTGGTGCAAATGATGAATGAGCTCAGCTGCTAACCAAAGAGTTGGAGGTTCGAATCTACCCAGACATGCCTTGGAAGAAAGGCTTGGCAATCTACTCCTGAACAATCAGCCACTGAAAACCTTA